CATTAAAAAAGATGAACATGATAACATTAAGATAAGAAAACATTTTTGCTATTTAATTAATGAATACAATAACCAAAATTATTTTTGGGAAGTAATTAAGTTAATTAAAAAAACAATTATTATTCTAATATTAACATATTTTGAAACATATATTCTTTTAAAAGCATCATTATTAGGATTATGCTTACTTTTTTATTAGTTATTAGCTTTTAACAAGAAACCATATATTCTTTCCAATTTCAATAACATGGATTTATATTCAGCTCAAATTTGCTCTATTTCAATATTCCTTGCTGCTTCTAAATATGTATCAGAACAAGAAAACAATTAATTTTCATCAATAATCCTCTAGATTTTGATTGTTCTTCTTTGTATTAAACTTTGCTATTCATTTATTAAAAGCATATTAGAAGTTTACGTTAATAAGTACTCTAACTTAATATTAAATTATTTGTATATAATTTTGGAAAAGATTTCATCAGATTCAATATTTACAAAAAAATTAAAAACCCATTTATAAAAATCAAGTTAAAGAAATAGGAGATTGAAAAGTTTAGTAAAAAAACTTAGATAACATCTATTGATGATTTCTAAAGGCCAAATTCAATATCAAAAAAAAATGATAAACTCAAAGAGCATTAAAACTCAATTTTCAGGGCCTGATCAAAAATACTTCTTAAACATAGATACTGAGTGATTTAATGTCATATATATTGATCATTTTATCTTTTTATTATAATTCAGCTATAAATATGTAAATTATTATAGCTATTATTTTAATGAAGTTTCTATTTATAATTTACTTTTTGATAAAATATTATTCAAAGAAACAATATTATTATTCTAAAGAAAAAAATTGCTTATTTCAGATTTCAATATCTTTTTCTATTTTATACTATGCACATCCCAATTAAATTGGTTTCACCTTCATTGAAGTCTTTTTTTCATCTCTTCTTAACCTATATCAATTAAGAATTAAGTGGATTAAAATCAAAATATGAAGTTTTTTTTATTAAATAACGTTAGCTTATTATAAATATAATTAAGAGAATCTAAGATAAGCCTAAACATTCCCTTTAGTAGATAGAAATCACAAATACTATGATTGTAGAAGAATTTTTTTGTATGTTTTAATAATCAATTGACATAATATTTTATCTTATGATTAAGAATTTAAAAGTGTAGCTAAAAGTTATATATTCAATAATAATCAAGGAATCCTTTAGATGAATTCACTTTAAAAGGAAATGCAAGAGATCCTATAAATATTTAATTTATTTTGGATGTCACCTATAGAGTTGCAAGGATCATCGATGACAACACAACGGCCTATTTCATTAAAATATCACAAATCTAAAATGCTGTATGAGATGAAGGTTTAAGTGAGAATTAACTGATTTAAATGATAAAGTTCAGATGTGGCAAGTTTCGATGTTTAGACACAGTATCTTTTATAATTTCTGATTTTATTTTATTCAAAAATGCTGAAATAGTAATTAAAATAAATATTGAAAATAACAATATATATAAAAGGATAATTTGCAACAATAACTGATTTGCATTTTAATATAAATTTTCAACCAATTAATAGCATTAGTAAATTCATAATTATAGATATACAAAAAAAAAAAATTTATTAAATAATATGAAAAGTTTATGATAAAAAATTAATTGTAGAAATTAGATCATTAAGTCAAAAAAAATAGTTATGTGAAATTTATGATTGAAAAAAATATATCTCAATGAAAAATCACATTGATATTAGTAAACTAATCAACCTATATTATAGTTTAATTATAACTCTTAATTGAATATATGAAAATTCAAGAACTAAAATTACATTAAAAAAATTTTATATAAAAATAAATATAAATAAATAAGGACAAATTGGTGAATTGTAAAGTGTAGTTGATTAATTAGAAACGCCTTTATAGTAATTTAATTTTTGCAAAAGTAATTAGAAGAAGTAATAAATTAGAAATTTTCTATAGATTTTAAAAGAATAATCATCAAATTATATTATATTGATATTATTAATAAAAAATTGGAATGATACATTTATTTAAAATTAATAGTTTTAATGAATCAAATTCATGATCATTTATATCCTTTAATTACAAATAAATATAGGATTAGTCTGGACTTTATATACAGCTTTAGATTCAAAATTATAAAATTTAATAATTAATTTAGAAATGATAAACTAGCAATAGCATGGATAATTATATACAGCAATGAGCAGAGATAAAAATTTAGAAAAATTATTTTGTACTTGAACACAATAAATTTGGTAAAATAAAAATATTAAAGATGAAAGTTTTAGTAAATATTTAATTGATATAAAGGTAATCATATTAGCCAAAGTAGATAAATAAATACATTAACAACAATATCAACTTAAGATTAGAAAAATCATAATTGCCTCTAATTTATCCTTTAAAGTAGTAAATTATTTTCAGTAATTGTTTTTCAATTTAAATTTATCAATTTCTGACTTTAGAATTGTGAATACAAATTGTTTCTTAAGAATTTTTTTTCATTTTCAAATAAAAAATATTTAATATAATATAGAGCTTCAATTTTTCGTTTAAATATTTTAAGAATCCCTTTAAGTTAATAATAAAAGATATTTAAATGAGAACATATATGAATAAAGTTTCTTTATAATTGAGAAGAATTTATTAAAAATCAACAACATTATTCCATAAAACTATTTATCTCTCTTTATAAAAATATGAGCCTTCAAAAAATTAAAGTATTTTATCTTTACAAAGAATCTCATTTTTCAATTTTATATTTCATTACACTATAGAAGCTCAGGAATATAAGAAGTAAACTTTAAAGGAATTTTTTTTCCTAATTGATTGGTTCCTCTCTTTTCCTCATTTTCTTCCTTACCCATGGCGAATGAATTTCCAAGAAAAATTGATAATATTACCATATAAGGCTCTTAAATACAATAATATTAAATCTATAGTTGTCTTTAGACTATAAATATCAAAAATATCAAAAAGTGAGCTAGATTTTATTCAGATTTACTCCTTCCTAAAATAGGAATTAAATCAATGATAAAACAAAAACTTATATTAAATATAAAATAGCTTATTCAATTAAAAATTATTAATCAATGTTATAAAAGAATTAAGCTATTCAATTGTTGGATTAAATCCTGAATATCATATATTACCTAAATTATAATAAATTCAAAATCTATTAATTCTATTTTACAAAAATTCTTAAGATACTTTTATTGATTTATAGTNTATAAAAATAAATATAAATAAATAAGGACAAATTGGTGAATTGTAAAGTGTAGTTGATTAATTAGAAACGCCTTTATAGTAATTTAATTTTTGCAAAAGTAATTAGAAGAAGTAATAAATTAGAAATTTTCTATAGATTTTAAAAGAATAATCATCAAATTATATTATATTGATATTATTAATAAAAAATTGGAATGATACATTTATTTAAAATTAATAGTTTTAATGAATCAAATTCATGATCATTTATATCCTTTAATTACAAATAAATATAGGATTAGTCTGGACTTTATATACAGCTTTAGATTCAAAATTATAAAATTTAATAATTAATTTAGAAATGATAAACTAGCAATAGCATGGATAATTATATACTTGAACACAATAAATTTGGTAAAATAAAAATATTAAAGATGAAAGTTTTAGTAAATATTTAATTGATATAAAGGTAATCATATTAGCCAAAGTAGATAAATAAATACATTAACAACAATATCAACTTAAGATTAGAAAAATCATAATTGCCTCTAATTTATCCTTTAAAGTAGTAAATTATTTTCAGTAATTGTTTTTCAATTTAAATTTATCAATTTCTGACTTTAGAATTGTGAATACAAATTGTTTCTTAAGAATTTTTTTTCATTTTCAAATAAAAAATATTTAATATAATATAGAGCTTCAATTTTTCGTTTAAATATTTTAAGAATCCCTTTAAGTTAATAATAAAAGATATTTAAATGAGAACATATATGAATAAAGTTTCTTTATAATTGAGAAGAATTTATTAAAAATCAACAACATTATTCCATAAAACTATTTATCTCTCTTTATAAAAATATGAGCCTTCAAAAAATTAAAGTATTTTATCTTTACAAAGAATCTCATTTTTCAATTTTATATTTCATTACACTATAGAAGCTCAGGAATATAAGAAGTAAACTTTAAAGGAATTTTTTTTCCTAATTGATTGGTTCCTCTCTTTTCCTCATTTTCTTCCTTACCCATGGCGAATGAATTTCCAAGAAAAATTGATAATATTACCATATAAGGCTCTTAAATACAATAATATTAAATCTATAGTTGTCTTTAGACTATAAATATCAAAAATATCAAAAAGTGAGCTAGATTTTATTCAGATTTACTCCTTCCTAAAATAGGAATTAAATCAATGATAAAACAAAAACTTATATTAAATATAAAATAGCTTATTCAATTAAAAATTATTAATCAATGTTATAAAAGAATTAAGCTATTCAATTGTTGGATTAAATCCTGAATATCATATATTACCTAAATTATAATAAATTCAAAATCTATTAATTCTATTTTACAAAAATTCTTAAGATACTTTTATTGATTTATAGTATAAAGCTTAAAGAAAAGTAATAGAAAATCAATATTAAAAAAAAGAAAATGAATTGTAATCATCACATTCGCAATCCAATAACTATGATATGTCTAGCTCCTCATAGATGCTAATGCTAAAGAAAACTTTGCGCTGAATGCCAAGATGAACATAATGTTGATTTGAAATATATTGTATCAATACCAAGATTTAAAAAAAAGGTTACCAATAAGTTGAATTTATACACACTAAATGAGAATTCTGAAATAATAGAAAAAATGATAAAATATTAAAAATTGCTTAATCGATCTTAAGCAAAGTTAATCCACATTTTTGAAAATTTGTCTAATTATGTCACCTCAGTATATAAAATGATTGAATAGAAAAACCTATCATTTGTGAATCTAATCAACGAAGATACTAACCTCGCAGAATCCTCCTATAATGACTTAGAAAAATTAGTATAAATTGCAGAAGGAACAACATTAGAAGATTGGAATGAGGGGAAAATTTCTTTATTAAAAAAAATGGATAGGATGATGCATTGGTTTAATCAAGAAATAAATTCTTTATGCTCAAAGGAAGAAATGAATGAGATTTATTAAATAATAAATTCTATTAATTAAACAGAATAAGTAGTTGAAAGGAAAAAAGATTTTTATGAGGTTTTAATTCCCTTTAACAATATTGATATCTAAATATTCAAATCGATATTTGAAATTTTAAGTGAAGCAAAAATTTCAGATTTTTTAGGATTTCTTGATAATCAATAGCATTTGGAATAATATGTAGATAGATAAAGAGATTTAAATTTTGTAAGAAGTAATATTTTAAAAATAACTAATATAATCAGAGATATCAAAGAACATGACTTTAATAAATATGACTATTCCACTGCAAAATATTAGGAAACTAAGCAAGATCTCATTGAGAAAATCTCATAAGATAAAATGATCATTGAAATTTTACAATTTTTAGTTCGCCTGACAGCAATAGACAAGAGTTTCATCTAATGTGGATCAAATGCACTTAATTTATTAGTTGACATGAAAGTTGATCTTTAAAAACAAAGCTTTGAAAATATTAGGATAAAGAATACTTCTTTGATTGGAGCAAATTTTGTTAGATGTAATTTTAGTGGATCTGAATTTAATAATGTAGACTTAAGCGGAATAAATTTGAATGGAACTTAACTATTTAATTGTAAATGGAATAAAATAAGAATTCATGAATTAAATAATTTTGATGGTCATAGTAATTCTGTCCATTCTGTCTGCTTCTCTCCTGATGGAAATACATTAGCATCTGCAAGCGAAGATTATTCTATCCGTTTATGGGATATAAAAACAGGAAAATAAAAAGTCAAAATGGATGGCCATTCAAATTTGGTTCGATCTGTATGCTTCTCTCCTGATGGTACCACATTAGCATCAGGCAGCGATGATTGTTCAATCCGATTATGGGATGTTAAGACAGGATAATAAAAATTCAAATTAAATGTTCATACTAGTAGTGTTTTATCAGTATAGTTCACTTCTGACGGTACGACATTAGTATCTAGTAGTGCAGATAAGTCTATCCGTTTATTGGATGTTAAGACAGGATAAGAAAAATTTAAATTAGATGGTCATATTCATTATGTTTGGTCAGTTTGTCTCTCTCCTGATGGTGCTAATATAGCATCTGGTAGTTACGATAAGTCTATCCGTCTATGGGATGCCAAAACAAGATAATAAAAAGCCAAATTAGATGGCCATAGTGAATGGGTCTCATCTGTATGCTACTCTCCTGATAGTACTACATTAGCATCTGGTAGTGGAGATAAGTCTATCCGTCTATGGGATGCCAAAACAGGATAATAAAAAGCTAAATTAGATGGCCATAGTGAAGCTGTCCGGTCTGTATGTTTCTCTCCAGGTGGTACTACATTAGCATCTAGTAGTGATGATAAGTCAATACTTTTATGGGACATTAAATCAGGATAATAAAAAGCTAAATTAGATGGTCATAGTGAAACTGTCCGGTCTGTATGTTTCTCTCCAGATGGTACTACATTAGCATCTAGTAGTGATGATAAGTCTATACGTTTATGGGATGTTAAGACATAACAAGAGAAATTAGATGGTCATCCTAATAAATTCTTATCAGTATCCTTCTCTCCTGATTATTCAATATTAGCATCGAGTTATGATGATAACTCTACCCGCTTATGGGATGTTAAAACAGGAAAAGAAATTCAACTCTCAGATATGAGTTATTAAGAGTGTCTGGTATAATTTCCAAAGCATCTATTCTAAAATAACCCTCTTTCAAAAGGTGGTATTTATTTTCAATTCGTATTTAGTCAATTCAAATATTACTCTTCTCATTATATCATCAAAGCCCATATTTTAAGCATAAGGCGCTTTCATTTTTAAAGGAGAATTTGCGGATTAATTAGGCATTGATTTAAGAACATTTTTTAAACAAAGTGGAGGTTGCCTTTTGGAAAATTAAATCCAATTAGAATAAGAGTAAATTTGATTATCATATAATGTCACAAATATAAAAATGAGTATTAATCCTCTTCTGTTATGAAAATAATTTTTCATTTACTTTATACTTATTAGATGCATACAGAAGTATAAACGTTGAATTATTTTTGGATATAATATTCATGTAGGGCGAGATGATAATATGAACTGTTACAATAGACTTCTAAATATTTCTATAAAGGAAAGCTTTATCTTATGAATTAATTTATATATTCAAATGAAAGTTTCTTTGTTAGATATTGAACAAATAAACATTTATCTGAATAAAAATTAGGTGGGCTGTCGTAATTCCTTCTAATACAGTTAAAAGAAATACTAAAATCAACGATGAAATTCTTATAGCAAAAGTTAGAAGTAATTTTCCGAAATTTCAACTTTCACTTTTCCTCAGAGAATTATTACCTATCTCTACTCAAGAAAACATCAAAACCAATAATCCAAAATTAAAGGATTAAAAATATAAACCTTCTCATTTCAAACACCAAAATCATACAAAACAGAATAAAATTATGATATATGACACTATTATAGGATAAAACCTAGCTTGTTACATATCTTATTTAAATAGATGATCAATACGCCATAACCAAACTTGATTGAGTTCTAATTCACATAAATCAAGCCTGTTTAAAGAGTTTGAAAAATCAAAACATTATGAAATAAATATTAATAAAAATACATTTATTTACTCATTGTAAATTTAAAGGTTTCAACTTATTTGTAAGTAGACTCATATCATATTGATCACATTTCCAGAATTTTACTCCATAGTAATCCAAATTTGTCAAATATTTGCTATTTAAAATTTATAATAATTGACTGGTGGGTGCCATTTAATTTCTGAAATGGAGGTATAAAACTTGTTTTCCTATTATTGTTTCATAAACTTCTATATAATTTTCCGAAATAGCAGCCAATATTTTATCATATTTCAATAAATAAAGATCAGTCTATTTTGAATTTTGTTATTATTTAAATTTTCTTAAAATTTTTCTACATTATAAGCTGTATTAATATATAAAAGAGCGTTATATATCAATTTTCACCGTTTAATAGATTAATTTGTTTGTGTTATTAATACAACTTTCTTTTAAGTTTGTCATGGTTGTGAGATTCTTATTAATCTATAATAATTTTCCATTTTTAGAATAAATAACTTTTACCTTTTATTTAAAATAAATTATTAAGAAATCATTATATTATAACAATGAGTATGGCTACTAATCTGCATATATATTATTAATTTATTTAGAAATAATTTCTTCGTTATTATAATTAAGTTAATTTAAATAGTTATTGCTGTCTATTTGTAGTATTGTTGTTTGTTAGAAGATTGATAGATTTGGATTATTGTTCATCTCATACTTAATTAAAATTTACTTATTGACATCATAGAGACAAAGGACTTGATTTGTATAAATTGCAATTTAATTAAACTCATAGTTACAGATCAATTTTGCTGCGTACAATTTGTAGTTAATATTTTCCTCAAATCGTTTAAAAATTGTAAAATCTTATTAATTTAATACTAAAATTATTAATCTGCATCTTTAAAATTTATTATTGATTATTATTCCAGCCTATACGAGAATAAGAAATATAAAATCTTTGGTTCCTCCAATAAGTAGTTCTTTATATTTATCCTCTATTTTGTATTCATATTATGGATCTTAATATATTTAAAAAAAATATTTATTGATTTACCTTCTTAATATTTCAAATTAAGATAGCAAATAATTTAAAAAATCTTACTCTTATAATTTATCATTAATTTTTTTGATTTTATTGAATTCTAGATACTCATCATCTATTAAATCATATTAATCTTCATCAAAAATATAATGAACTATATCATCGATAATTTGCTAGTATTCTTAATTGTAGTTAATTGATGAATAATGTTAAATAAATTTGAAGTTTAAATTAAGATATTCAATATGATATTATTCTTAAATTCTATTGATTGATGTAATATATTCGTATTTCAAATCGTCATCAGATAAACTCATAAATATATATATAATTATTAAATAATAAATATTATTTTAATATTATTTCAAATATTTACATATAATTTTAATAAGCTTGAAGCTTCTTATTATTCTTAAATTATTTTTTTTAGTAAAATATTTAGTTAATTTTTTAAAGACATTATTCAAAATATCTAACAAAACTATTCTAAGTATTTTTCTCCATAAATTATAAATTTGATTATTATCAAAGGATTAATCTGGTATTTTTATAATAAAAATTCGAATAAAGTGATTTCTCAATTCATTAATCATTTCATCTTCTAATACTTAAGATTCAGACGAGAGAAAATATATATCATAATCAACCTTGTGTATATATCATCTTTTCTTTATTAAACAGTTTAGTTAAATAGATAAAAACATATTCAACTTTAACTTAAGTAAATATTTTCAATTACAAATATTTCTTTGATTATAATTATGTTAAAACGCTTATAAGATATTCATTATATTTATATATTATTTAGAATTTGATCATTTCGAATTCATTAGATTGTATATTTACGTTATAATAATAATAATAAAAGATCAAATTTAACTTCATTTATTTATTAAAATAAAAATCAATTTTATTTGATATTTAGATATTAAATGTAATTGTAATTCAATTTTTTCAATAAAAAAGTCTTAACTTTAAGGCTTTTAATTTCACATTATAATAAAAAGTGTACTTGTTCATAGTTTAGATATGCTTCAATATTTTTCTTTAATATTTTGAATTAGCTTTATCTAATTTTAAAATTACAAATTAGACATTCCCTGAAGGAAAATAATTCTAAAATGACTCACATTGATCACATTGAATTGATGGATGAAGAAATTTTGTACTGTTAAACAAAACATCAAGCATATTAAATTCTTTGACAACATTTTTTTATGGCTTTTAAGATTTACCTGAATTTAATACATCTTATTCTTAATTCAAAGATTACTCTTTTCTAAAGATTGCTCTACCTACAAAGCTTTTAGCCATAGGTAAATGAAATTTTTCAGGATCTCCATCATTTAATACAATTTTTTATGTCTTCTTAATATCATTGTTAAGCTGGGAAGAATGATTACTTTAAGAGCTATGATCTGCTAAAGCTAATTATAAGGAATTTGATAGTTAGAACCCAAAATTATCTTCTAAAAATTTAGTAACAGATTGAGAAAGTTATCGTTACTCTTTTATACTTTTAATTTTATTTCCCAACCTAGTTTTTGGTGATCTACAAAAAACAACAGATTATTAAGTTTTTTTTAATAATCTTTATTCTAAATCAGGATAATAATTGAGAACTGGACAATCGATCTCTTAATGATTGTATCGATCACAAAATTAACAGCATAAATCAAAAATTCTATAATTTTAATAGAAAATGATTTAGTCTTTTATGTGATGAAAAGTTTCAAAATCTTTTCTATTAAATTGTAATATTTCTAGAAAACATTTTCTACTTATTGTATAAATTTTTGAAAATCCAATACTTATTGCTGAAGTCTTGGGAGGAAAATCTGTAAAAAATTAATAAAAACCAAAAGTCTTATTCTATTTTAATTTGTTAAATTTCATTTTACTATTTTCCTCCAAAATTTCAATTTCACCTTCTTTAATAAAGTAGAGATTTTTCTCCATAATATCTCCTCTTTTGTAAATGAAATCTCCAGGAGAATATTTAACTAATTATAAACTTTTTGATAATAATTATTATGTTCTTTGTGAGAAATGACTGATTACTGATTTTACTTAATTAATAACTCTTATTTAAATATCATCTTTTAAATCTTATTGTAGATTTTATGGTAGTATTGATATTAGATTGTCAACATCATCTTAATTTTCATTTTGCTCTTAATTTATATAGTACTTTAAATAATTTCTTATTCTACTTTATATTTTAGGTTCTACTTAATTTTTATTCATAAATGTATTCATTTTTAAAATAGATCTTTTGTATTTTAATTTTGAGTCTTAAAGGTTTTTTAAAATAATTCCTATTTAATTCATTGAGTAAGCAAAAACACCACTAGATAAAAACATAATAATATCAACAAAAATTAGTTCCAATTAACTTTAAGCTGTAATATCACCATATCCTATTGTTGTCATAGTCATGGTTGCCCAATAGAATGCATAATTATATTATCTCCAGATTGGCTCATTCAATAATTCATATTTAATAAGCCATGATGTTTCCATAGATTTAATTCCTACATAATGCCAAAAGCATGCAACAATATGTGCTAATAAATAAATAGAAAGTATTAGGTTTAGTAAGTCCATTAGACTATTTGAAATCCCTTTGAAAAATACGAATTCAAAATAATCTGAAAAATATCTATTGATTTTTTTATAAGTAACAATCAGTTAAGCAAAAGTTAAAAATTCTCCAATAACTTAATATGTCATTAAGTTCTACTAAATTAGTGTCCATAATATTAAATTAAGAATATCATTTGTGAAATTGGTTTGAATATACTTTTCAATCAATATTTTTCTTTTTGATATCAATATTCCTTATATAATAATTCCTTTATTTAAGGAGATCAATATGTCACTAATTAAAAATATAATAATTGAGAGCTTTATGGAAGAAAGCTAAACTTCATTTTAATTCTATTAAAAAGACAATAAAAATGGGGTCAGCCATAATATCATAAAATTAAAAATGATTCCAATAGCATTCCAAATTAATATAAATCCACATGTTGGTTAAATTACTGGTATTCCTGATTAAGTATATGTATCTAATGTTTTATTTAATATTAAATACCTAATATAGGTTATTTATTACTTTCTTCAATATATTTATCATGAATTAGTTGTTTTTTATTTTACTTTAATATGTAAGAGTTCGTAAACAAATTATTTATAAATTATTATTTAATTTTCTCAGCCTTAATTACTTTAACAAAATTTGACTGAATCAATTTGCTTTTGAATTTTATTGTTTAAAAGGTGTTATTAATAGTA